TTTCTTTCCATCTATTTCAATATGCAAATGATGAAAATGTTACTTGATATAATCATTAGAGTGAATAGTTATTGCAAGAGTATTTACAGCTATAGATACATAGAAATAAAACTCAAAACATATCAATCTATATTTGATGCTGAAGAAGGTCACAGTACCTCAATACAGGTTATTCTTCTAATATATTGTTAAAGCAATGGAAGTTAATAAGTCTATTACATGTATTTAGGTGGAATAATGTCTGCAATCTTTTTACTGTTTTATCTTACTAAAGATAAAATCTGAGTAAAAAAGGAAACACAAGAAAGCTCTGGAACTAAATTTCTTTCTCATAAACTTTGGTCTAATGCATGGCTGATGAAGTCATCAGACAATATTCTCACACCTTTGATTTTATTTCAGCAGTTTCCAGAAAATTCAGTAATTGAGAAATAATACTTCTATTTGATTCCTAAAAGTTTAAATTTAGTATGTAGCTCAAATTAATTCTTAATGTTCCATTTTAAGCCTCTACATTAAAAGACTTGGACATTTTATTCCTTAATATAGTTCACAATGGTCTCAGAAAACTGCTGCTTGATTTATAGAGTAGATTTTTATTACCAAATTTCAAGTTATTTGTTAGAAATAAACTGTAGTAACTATAACCAAAAAATGCTTTTAAAATTTCCTCAAAAGTTTAAAAGTATAAAAGACTGTAATTATGCAGAATGCTAATTAAGATTTATAGTCCTACAAGCATAAAATGAAATCATTTCAGAAATGGCAGACTATCTGTTGAAAGTGGTTTTCGTGGTAGATATATATTCAGCTGACCTACTGTAGCTCAGCAACTATCAACTAAGGTTAGAAGGGTGCACTGGACTGGGGATCAGAATCCCTGTGGAGACTGTTGAACTCCATAAGCATCGTTTACACAGGTTTCACCCTTGTCCTTTTCCTGGGGTTCTGACTGATACCAGGACAACAGCCTTCAAACTGGAAGTATACAAGTACTTTCTGCAGGGAGTACAGGTAGTTTTACATGAGTCACTTTCCAGATCCATTTAAAAATGGATCCTCCTAAGAATATACCTTTTCTGCCTACATTATCTTTACCCCATTTGATAAGACAAAGATAAGTCTCACATTGGAACAGAACCTTACTTTGGTGTATTGCATAGATATTGTGCTATTTATTTGGTTTACTGGTGAGTAAGTCACTAACACACCAAATAAATTAAAAATGGTATATATTTGTCACAATCTATCTATGCAAAAGTGAATACCTCTTAACACTACGTAGAAGATTCATTTGCAAAGCTTTAAACGGATTGAAGCAAGTAATTGAGCTGTCACTGATAAAATATTTTTTTAAATTTTTGATGATTTATTGCTAAAGATTTTGACATATAAAGCAAAGGAGGCTATGGTGGGCTAACAATCAGCCCCCAAATGATATCTACAACTAAACCCTAGAATCAGGCAAGGTGTGGTGCAAGGGGTTAATTAAGCACTGGAGTATGAAGCAATCCACAGCCTCTGCAGCATGAGTTCGATACTGGGACGGCCAGGGAGCAACCCACATGGCACAGCAGACCTCTCCTGACTCGCCCGCTGCTCTCCTCAGCAGAGTATTTCAGTCAGTCTTCCTGTTCTGTTCCCCACTCTGTCTCTGGTGGATCCTGTCACCCCCCACACCTCTGGCCTGTATCCCAGCTCTTGTGTACATGCATAAATAAATAAATAAATAAATAGACAAATAAATCTTTTTAAAAATAAATAAATCTCTAGAACCTATGTTGCTATTATACAACCATAAAAAACGAGGGAGGGGGGTACTTAATAGATATGATTGAGTCAAGGATTTTGAAATGAAGAGATTACCCTGGATTTTCTAGGAGGGCCCTAAATGCTACTGTTCCTATAAGAGAAAAGAAGAGGGAGACTTGATACAGACAGAAGAGGAGAAGACAATGTGACCGCTGAGGCAGAGATGAGTGATGTAGCCACAAGATCAGGAATCCTGCTGACACCTTGATTTCAATTCAGTAATACTGATTTCAGACTTCTGGCTTTCAGAACTGTGACAGAGTAAATTTCAGTGGCTTTAATCCACCAAATTGGTGGTAATTTGTTCTAGTAATCACAGAAAATGAAAACAGATTTCAAAGAAGTAAACGGCATTGCCATTACTCACATGCTTATTTATTAATGTAATTTTTAACATTAATTTATAAAAATAAGAAAGAGGGAGATGAAATTGTTACCAATTCCTGTCTTATTATAGCAGAAGAATGAAAATTCTTTATAACGTATTAAAAGAACAGGGGGAAAAAAGCCCTTCAGTTCACAATTCAGAGATTTATTTCCAATTAAAAAACTTTTAAAAGGGCCTCCCCTGTGGCGCATCAGGTTGAGTGCAGCACTGTGAAGCTGTCCGCAGCCTCTGCAGTGTAGCTTTGATTCCTGGCTGGCCGGGGAGAAAACCACATGGTACGGCAGACCTCTCCTATCTCGCCCACTGCTCCCCTCAGCAGTGTCTTTAGTCCGTCCGTCTACCTGTTCTGCTCCCCACTCTGTCTCTGGTGAATTCTCTCACCCTCCCACACATCTGGCCTGTACCCCAGTTCTTGTATAATTAAATAAATCTTGGGCTTCCCTGGTGGTGCAAGGGGTTCAGACACAACCTTTCTGCAGCCACTGTAGCATGAGTTTGATCCCTGGCCAGGGAGCTACCCACATGGCACAGCAGACCTCTCCTGTCTCGCCCGCTGCTCCCCTCGGCAGTGTACTTCGGTCCTTCTGCCTGTTCTGCTCCCTGCTCTGTCTTTGGTGAATCCTCTCACCCCCCACAACTCTGGCCTATACCCCAGTTCTTGTATGCACAAATAAATAAATCTTTATAAAATAAATAAATTAAATAAAAGCTTTTAAAAGTTATTCTTTTTTTTTATAGACGCATGTTTTATTTATTTGTTTGTTTGTTTGTTTATACATGCACTGGGTACAGTCAGTAGCGCGGGAGGGTGAGAGAATTCACCAGAGCCAGAGCGGGGAGCAGAGCAGGCAGAAGGACCGAAGTACACTGCTGAGGGGAGCAGCGGGTGGCAGGAGAGGTCTGCGCGCCATGTGGGACCCTCCTCCGGTGGCCGTGGAGCAGCCGGGGATCAAACCGGTGTCGCAGAGGCTGCGGGCAGCTTCGCAACCCAACGCTCAACCTCTGCGCCAACGGGGAGGCCCTAAAAGTTATTCTTTATGCTTATAATTTAAAACTGCAAAGGATCATTTATCTCTTCAGGAAACATTTAGGGTGTACACTCCTATAAAGATAACCACCACCGTGGATACTTCTTATTGAAACTGGAGACACCCCACTCCAAACGCACACAGGGCTCCAGCGCTTGGTCACAGAAACTGTTTGCGGGAGTGCAAGTGGCAGTGAGTGTGTGCACTATACCTCTAGCCACCAGTGACCCCACTGGGGTTCAGGCTACAGGCAGAGCCAGCAGTGATAGAGGCCAGTGGTTTCTATACCATGCCACCCCCAGGTCAGGCAGTCACTGTTTCAGGGATGCAGGGAAAAACACAGGGCTATACTGGGCCAGCTCAAGTGCTGTGGCTCCCTCCAGCTGCAGGTAGTAGAGAGGCCCATGGATTTGGTGCCTGGATCACAGAATAAATCAATCAGGTACAAGCTATGCGCTGGGTGGTGCTTTGGTCCAATCAGCCATAGGATTGAAAATAGCCCAATCAGAATTGTAGCTGGGGGACTCCGAAGGAGGATATAAAGCAGGGCAGGTGCCAGGTTGGGAGGTGCTCTTTTCCTCAGAAAGACTCTGTTCCTGGATTCTGAAGAAGAAAGAAGGATGAGCAACCAACCTCCAAAGGAAGAAGAGAAGCCAAAAGCTTTGCAGAGTTTGGACCAGCAGCATCTGCCCTCTGGCCTACCTCTGACACCGCCTAAAAGTAGCACCAAAGAACCCAGGCCTGGTGTCTTAAAGAGCTGTTTGTTGTTGGCGTGGGCCAACTCACAGAACTATAACGTTGGTGGTTTTGACCTGCCACCTCCTGGTCACTGGTGGTCAGCAGCACTGCTGGCTAGTGTTACCCAACACTGCTGATGGGTGACAGGCACCCTGTGTCCAGGTCACTTTTGAGAGCTGTTAACATGGTGTGCCTGATCATCCAGCACCGGCTACCAGTGCTGGATGGTCCAGCTGCTGCCTCCATTGCTGTCTGGTCCAGCCTCCTGTGCCGTCCATTCCAATCTTCAGACAGTTACAGTGGGCTGCTGCAGCATCATCTCAGCAGCCCCACCTCTGACCGTCTGTGAGTTGGATCCTGGCCTGCTGCTTGTTGGCTGCCACAAGCTCCAGGCACTCAATGACGGGACAACACCATCTCGGATGAGCAGCCTTTTGTGTAGGACTTCTGAACACTGTGGACACTATCTGGGGTGAGACAGCCGGATACTTGTGGCCTTAGAAACTCTTTGTTTGCCTCATTTGTTAAAGAAACCCTATTATTGTTGTTCCTTGTGCCTGAGTGGTTTTGCAATTGTGTGCAGAACCCATAGTGACCTGTCCTCTACCAGGCACTGTCCTTTGAGGCTATAGCTCCCCTGTAGCATTGTTTCATTATGTCTGTACTACAACAGAGTCAAAAAGTATTTCAAATATCACCTTATTTTATTAACTTCTCAAAAATATTCATTGTGCTACTAAAGGTTATGAAAATCATCTTTCATAAATTTGGACTGTTTTAGTACCCAAATTTCTTTATGTTTTAGTGTTACTTACACAAAAAAAGTTGGTAATTGTATAGTAGTTCTATCCTTATTTTTCCATTTTGTGCTACTTTGTCTTTCAACCACCAATACCAAAAATAAAAAAAGAAAGCAAAAGACTAGCCATAATTCCTTTCTCCCTGTTTTTCTACACCTGAAGAACATCTTTGCCGTATGATAGAAACTACAAGGGACAGAAAACAATGATATGACTATGATTCTTTATTCTTACCGAGACCTAAATGAGGCAGGTGCTCAAAAAGGGTCCAGCTGTGGTCATCAATGTAATGATTCTTCAGGATCAACAGCTGGCAAACATCTCGGGCAGTTATGTCACTGGGTACCTCTAAAGCCCTGCTGGTTTCATCTTCACTGTATACCTTAATTACCTGTGTAGGTAGAAATATGAAAATGAGGTAAAATATATTTTCAAAATACCATCTTAAGTCATCCCACTTACTGGTTGAACTGATTACCAATCCCTTAGACAGCTTTTTTTTTTTAATTTTATATATTTTTACATCATTTTTAATTTTTGTATAATGTATGCATTTTCATCTTGGTTATAGTCCCCATAAAATTCCAACCACCCTTGTTTTGATCCTACTCCCTTCTCCCCCCTGTAGTATGTCTCTGGTTTATAGATGCCTGTTGATTTTGATTTTTACCTTATTATAATTAGGGTTTTTTTCCTGATACCTTATTTGGGTATTCTAAATTCCTGCTATAAGTGAGACCATCCAGTATTTTTTCTTTTTCTTTCTCGCTTATTTCACTGAGCATGATCCATTCTAGCTCCATCCATGTTGCTGCAAATGGCATGAGTTTATCTTTTTTGATCGCTGAATAATATTCCATTGTGTATATGTACTACATCTTCTTGGTTCAGTCATCTATTTTTGGGTATTTGGGTTGTTTCCATAGCTTAACTATTATAAATAGTGCTGCAATAAATAGGGGTGCAGGTGCTTAGACAGTTCCTTACACAACTAATTTTCTTACATATTGAATGAATGTTATCGATCTGAGAGCTTATATGTGCCAAAGTCACCCTGTTCCACTTTCACTCTCTTCTAAACCTCAGGCTATTCAGTGTCAATTCCCTAACTCTATGGTTTATTAAAAAGCTATGCATCTTTTATCATCATTTAAATTTTTCCATTCCATATTTAAGCTTGGTAAGTAATTCAAGTAACATGGGTGCTTTATTTCCATATACACACATGTAGTCAATGCAGTGAACAGAATCAAACTTGATGAAAATATTTCTCTATTTCAGGAATAGAAATTTTGGAAAAATCTGGGTAGATGGTCAACAAAACCTTTCTTTTCTCCCTTGCAATTAGTTGTGTCCATGGGTTGGAGTTTCAATCAATAGGATAAAAGCACATACAATGTTGCACTTCCAGGCCTAGCTCATAAACAAACTGACAAACTGCTCTCTATTCTATTGTGCCACTCTCCCCCTAGAGGAAAATGATGACAAGGACCTAGAAGAAAGTCATGGAACAGAACAAGCCTTTGTCCTTGAATGACTATATGGAAGGTACTCAGCTGGGAACACCCATGTGGAACTTTGACATGAGCAAGAAAAACCTTTTATTATGTTGGCTTACTGTGAATTTGTACTTATCTATTAACATAGCTAGTGTTACTAAATTATATAGAATTAAAGTTTTGATTATAACACTCCCCTCAACATACACCAAGTTGTGCTGTCCTAGAATTCCCACTATTAATCATAGTATGTTATATATTAAATCAATTTTAAAAAAGACAAATACCTGTGACAATAGTAGAGTAAGATATACACACAGTGGAAAATGGTAAGAAAATTCAATAAGAAATATTACCTATCACAAAAACAGACACTTCAACATTTTTAGCAATTCAAACAAATGCAAATTAAATGGTATATATATTCTGCCTTATCAATTATTTTTGAAGTTATGCTTAATGATAGTAAAATGAAATGATAGGAGTTATATAAATTGGTAAAACTATTTCACATACCTTTGAAAGGTATTTTTCAAAACCATTAAATAGTCTGTATCTTTGACTCAGTAATTTCACTTACACAAAGTAACTCAATAAATCTATTCTAAATGTGGAAAATGACCTTAGGCATAGATAAGCCCCTCAAAGTATTGTATTCAACAATTAGAGAATGTTAAAATACAGTACTTTCACAAATTGGATATTACATGGAGCTTAAAATGTTATTCAAGGAAACGACATAAGAATTTTTTAAAAATCTGAAGGAAAATAAAATCAGGACACCAAAGATATGTTACAGTGGCACCAAAGTACATGCTACATGTACAAACTTACTTGTTGGACTGGCTAGGAGACACCCACCCTTCTTCTGACAATATTCTGATAGTCTTTTCCAGCGCCACTCCCTCTGTCCCCATCAATCTTTGTGATTCTGGCAGCTCCACATTCAGCTCAAGGATTGTGTGCTGGAGCTGCTAGAACTGGTTTGCAAGAGCTCATTGTTAATCACTCAGGAACTTTGCAAACCAGTGATCTGTAAATCAGTCATATGAAAGTACATACACCAAAGAAAATGGAAAATGCTACAAATAAGATCTTTTAAATAATTTTTATGTTGAGCCAGTTTATCAGTGTGCCACTGCCTCAGTCGCAGATTAAAGATGTTACCCAGATTGATCAATCTGCACCCAGAGTCCCTCTGGGCAACAGTGATTATTTCAAAGACAAACACATGACCTAATTAGAACTAGTTAGAGCCAATCTGCTACCTGTTGTCACAATGATAGAGTGGGCCTTCTTTTTTGCTGGGAAGAGATAGGGTAATGAGAGGTTGTGGGGTAAATGGGGCCATGCCAAGAGATGAAAAAAGTCTTAAAAATATTATTTGCACCTCTGAACTTCTGAATGTTTATGGTTTTATCAGGTGTGTGCTATAAAACTAAGCTTCTAGTAGTAACACTTAACTACTTATCTCCCTTATTCTAGCCATGACACCACCTTCAATTTATCCTCTCTACTGCTAGTAGCATCAACCGACCAATCCACTCAACAAGTAAAATTCTTCAATGGCTCCTCACTACCATAACTCAAACAGCTCATGGTATTTATTAAGACCCTCTCAAGGTGTAAATCCTTTGCTAAGTATTTTAATAGATGGTTGTCATAAAGATTTTTGGTGTCCTCAGAGAGCTTAAAGTTTAGAGGGGAAAGCAGTATTTAAAAAGCAATAATTACAAAGTAGAGCTAAAAAAATACATGTTACCAAGTCATTAAAATGGCTGTTAGGAGAAAGTCAAAATCATCCACCATTTAAGCAAAGATCTGAAGCGTGAATAGGCAGAGCTCTGTTTATTCACCATTTATTATCATATCCCAGGGTCAAGTCAAGGACAGTGCAAGACTTAATAAAGGCCAGTGGGATAAATAAACTTTGTACTCCTTGCAAAGTGTATTAAAATATTTTGTATATGTTAGTTAACACATATTTGTAAATTTTAATTAAAAATATTTTCTGTCACAAAGTACATGATTAATTAAATTTCAGTTCTCAGGAAATTAAAATTCTTCTCAATAAGGAACAGATACATAATTTTTTAAATAAATAATCCTGGGTAAGAACTGACTTAATGCTATTAGCAGGGAGTTCTAAGTCTTGAAGTTATTGAGCTGGCTATAGAGTTACATGAAAAAGGTAACGGAAATACATGGTCAAAACAGATGCAATTGTCTGAACTTTCACTTTAGTTCATTTATTTTTTAATACATGTGGCTCATTAAGATTCCAAGATCTCTTTGGCATCTCAGAGTTTCCCAAGATTGCACCTGGGAAGGTTATTCTTTTAAGTACGTGCCTTCAGTATCTGTCTCTGTGCTAAAAAATTGGCAGGACATTCAGGGACGCCATCCACGATATATCCCAGCTGCTATGGTTAACCCTGACTGGATCAAACACTGGTGGATGCGCCAGCCAAAAAGCAACAGATCAATCCCTGAGAGGACAAGAGGATCCAGCCCTGGGGCTGCTCCTTCACGTGGAGCAATGGTGAGCAGAGGCTCGCTGCACGCGCATGCTAGGAAAGTGGGGGACTGGCAATGACCTGGTGGAAAGGTACTTTCTCATTACCCCCTGTCTTCTTACAGTAAATTCCCATCACTTAGGGGAATAGAAATATGCCTCTTATTTCTCATTCTCTTTTATATCAGAAGAACTAAAGAAATGAAAACCAGAGATACTCTGAAGCCTAAGTCAAATGCAAGAAGAGGGCAAGAACAGAGCAAGAGGTATGGTAGGGAAATGAAAAAGATATCTGACCAATCAGGAAGTGGCAGTAATTTGTTCATATTATGTTGAAAGAAATAAGCTGCCAAGAATCAAGACATAAATTTAAAGGAGCAAGGACAATTTAAATTTCTGAAGTTGGTGCATGTACTCATTTTGAAAATAACACCTAGTGAGAGAAAAACAATACTTTTGTATGCGTTCCACTTAAAATTCTTATTTTTAAATTCCACTTAATGCTGACATTTGTCCATTCATCTAAAAGTGATAAAATTATTTTTTGAGTGATATTCCACAGTAAATCCCTGTCATCCCCATCACCTCTTAGATCTATTCAGAAATCATGAAAAATTCCTTCCACTACCATTAGGGTACCTCTGTTTGAAAGTCTCATTTTTTTTTTAGCTCTTCTGCCCATTTTTGACTGGATTATTTTCTTTGTTTTTGTTGAGTCTCATCAGCTCTTTGAAGAGGAAATGCAAATGGCCAACAGGCATATGAAAAAAATGTTCAACATCACTTATAATCAGGGAAATGCAAATCAAAACTACCATGAGATACCATCTCACACCAGTGAGAATGGCACATATTAAAAAAACTAGCAACAACAAATGTTGGCGAGGTTGTGGAGAAAAAGGAACTCTCCTGCACTGTTGGTGGGAGTGCAAACTGGTCCAACCACTATGGAGAGCAGTGTGGAGATTTCTGGACCTACTAAATATAGAGCTTCCATATCATCCAGCAATTCCACTCCTAGGTATTTACCCAAAGGACACAGAAATATCAATTCCAAAGAGCACCTGCACGCCTATGTTTATAGCAGCACTATTTACAATAGCTAAGCTTTGGAAACAACCCAAATGCCCAAAAATAGATGACTGGATCAAGAAGATGTGGTACATATACATCATGGAATATTACTCAGCATTCAAAAAAAGATAAACACATGCAATTTGCAGCAACATGGATGGCACTGGAAGGGATCATGCTCAGCGAAATAAGCCAGAAAGAAAAAGAAAAATACCTGATGGTCTCACTCATAGCAGGAATCTAGAAAACTTAAATAAGGGACCAGGAAAAGAAAAACTATAAGAAAGAAAATATCAAAATCAA